CGTTCTTAAAATATAAACAACAGATTCCAATAGCTAAACAGGCTTGCCCAAGGCCGTAACTGGAAAAAAATTCGGGGGGGGGGGGGGGGCCACCACCATTGTTTAACGCATAATATAGTTGTTAATAAACTTTCACCACTAAAATGTTTTTTCTAATTTTGAAAATGTCGGGGGGGGGGATCCGGACCCCTTGACCCCTCCCCCAGTTACGGCCTTGGGCTTGCCTATTTAAACTTTATAATTTTAGTTCCAGTTCATGTAATATAAGGTTAATATAATAGTATTGATTTAAATTATACGATTTAGAATGTTTAATTAATAATTATAATTTAATATATATATATATATATATATATATATATATATATATTAATATAGAAAACAATTTAATTATTAGTTAAGAAGTAATGGCCTCGAGTATAACCCAGTGGTAAATATAACTGACATTTAATCGATAAACTTAGGTAGTGACCATAGCTACATTAGTTTATTCCTAGGCAAAGCCCCCAAAATCATTAAGATAAGTAGTTATTTAATCTTTTGCCAGAAAGTAAACGTGTATTTTAAATTTAAATTTTTCTGGTAGCTGGTCTGTGTTAACTCTTTCTGGCACGGTAAAATATACACATTCATCAAAAAAATTTTCTATTGTATAAAATGGGACAAATATTATACCACCAATAAAATATTTTTTCTCTATTTTCCAGTAATTTTTTAATCTAATTTTAGATACTTAATATTTTTCTCATAGCTTTATAACTTAAGCCAGGGGTGTACGTATACAGATTTTAGCAACTCTCCCAGTTACAACTGCTAACAGTGAACGATCTTTTTAATAAATATAAACAGTGATTTAATGATAAACCTTGATGACGACCTAAATTAATTAACGACCAAAACAAGAAAACTACGGCTGATGTAAATTTTAATTTAATTAAAATATTGTTTGATTTTAAATGCTTTAAGTAAAGTACAAGAAAATTTAAAATAATATGTTTTATGTATACCTATTGCATAGACCTAAACCGTAAACCCCCCTATTGAAAAATCTTGCCTACGCCACTGGTATATGCAATATAATTATGATGACTAGCAGTGGCGGTCAAATTATTTTATCATAGGAGGGGGAGATGTAGCTGATTTTTTAACAAACACTATATATAAAAATCTTTATTTTTAAACATGAAAATTATATTATATTAATGATATTTATATTATTAAATCTATTTTTCTGGTTTTTTTTTTGCCAATTCGTCCAGTACTTCGTCTGCATTTATATTGACAACCCCACGACGAACAGCTATAGTGGCTAAACATTGAGACAACTTTAAAATAATATAATTACACAATTCATATAATAATATAATATATTATGTTAAACAGTAAGTACTAAATTTAAATTTCATACATTCTTATAATTAAACTATAATAGAAATGAAAAAAACCTAAAAAATTTTGTTTCAATTAATATTTTAGTGTTTTATGTTTGAACTGTTAATTTTATTCCAACCTAGAGACTGTATAATAACTAATAAGTGCAGCATATTTATTTTTTTAAATAGAAAATTGATGAATACCTATATTATATTATGTATAATATGCATAAAATATAAATATTTAAAAAAAGGTCATGGGGGGGATCTATCCCCCCCCCGTTTGACCACCACTGATGACCAGGTATTCAAATACAAATATTTTAATACGTATATACATACAAATCTATATTATAAATTTATAAAACGTAAACAATTTTTTTTTTAAAAATTAAACTTGTAAAAAATTAACAGTTAAATACTTAAATCTCTATTATACGTTCTTTTAATGTTCACCACTGTTGTGCTAATTGATTAATGTCCATTGGTCCACATTATATTCCTAATATTACTAAGGAATTGAATCGGTCATCCTTTATTGACGATCTGAGAAATGTCTTCACTAATTTGAATTCACTGAATGTCTTCTCATTTGATGCTACAGTCACTGAAGAAGTTAAAGCCACACGACATAATAATTAGCGCATGGTAAAATATGTTTGACTTCTTCAGACTTTTCCATTAACCATTTAAAATTTTTTGAATCATTTAGTAACATGTTAAATAATATCTCTAGTTGAGCCTGGACTAAATTTAGATATTGTAGATTGGAATCTGTACTATCTTATGGAAATAAAGAAAGTGAATTTGTAATGATTTCAAAAGTAATATTTGATTTGTCTAAAGGTTGTGAAAATAATTTTAACAATGGCTGAACAGAAAAAATACATAAAAAAAGTATTAAGTTTAAGTTTAAGTATTAAGTTTTAAGTTGGTATTTGATAATATGATTAATGTATGAAGAACTAACTTAAATTATCTTCGGTAAAATAAATGTATTGAAAATTCAACCCCAGTGGATGATCTTGAGTCAATTCGTTTAGGACATAATCTTCTACGATGATGTGTTTTAAAATAACTCTCTGAGTTTGTTCCAAGTAAAGTTGCAAAAGATAAAGTGCTATCAATTAAAATATTTTTAGCATCAATTATACATAAATGTTTAATTTCAAGATTTTTAGTAAGATATTTTAATTTGTACAGAATATTTTTCATAAAAATTATAGAAATAATAAAATCAAATGAAAGTAATTGTTATTGAAGGCCTTTGAATCATGTTCCCTTGTCAATATTTCCATTATAAAAACATATTTAATCAAGACTTTTAATTATTGCTTCTAATGAGCCCCATACAGCATTGATACTTTCTGCTCTTGCTGTCCACTGTGTTTTTCATAAATTTTTTAGCTGCAACGCATTTTTGATTTCAGATAATTTTATGTTATACCATATCTCTTATTATTTGCAGAAAAAAATTCACAGAAATTTTCTAAAGTATCAATCATATTTGCAATAATTGTACTTGCATCTATGCAACTATGCTATATATTGCAACTATGCTCTAAAAATGTATTAAGCCTAACCGACAATGTTCCATTGTAATTTTTTTTTCTTTTTTACTTATCAGTTAATACTATAATAATAAGAATATATTTATTATGATATTCTTATAAAATTATAAACAAAGTAGAAATATTTTTTTTTCATTATTAGTATTTTAATATTTAACTATAAATACTTAAGATATTATTAAATTGCAGACTCAATGTATCGATAAAGCATCGTGACAACTAGACCTAACTAGAACGCCGGGAGAGAGGAGCACATCCTTCAACCTCCCCTCGGGACGGCCCTGGTTAGACCACCAAGTTGTGGGAGTAATTTAGAAAATCTCTAGCGTTAAATTTCCCTTTAATAAAACTTACATGAATATTGTTTAACTTTTGACTAAATTTAAAAAACTGGATAACGTGGAAGAGACTCGGGAGAGTATTTGAAATAACTGTGAAAAGAATAGTAAAAAAGTTTAATATAGTTGCCGAAAAATTGTTGCATACAAAAAAAGCTTGTTCTCGTATTATGTAGGGATTGGGTACATAGGCGTAACTAGGGGGAACTTTAGTGGGGGCTTAGCCCCACTGTCATAATTCTTAGTCTTGCTAACGGTAGCTAAATTTTTAATTTTAATTTAAAATATCGTTTTATTTTTTTTTTATTAATATCTTGGAAAAATATTTATTTTTTTTTGGTTATACGTATTATTGAAGTATGATGTTTTTATGTAAGGTTTTACTACATAAATATTACTTAGAAATTATTAATAAATTAAACACAAATATAGTCGTAAAAGACGTACGATTATTAATAACTTGTGCCAACGATTAACGAGTAATGAAATATTAATGAAACTGACTTAAAATCAGAAATTTTGGTTGCGAAAAATTGTTATGACAATCAATTATATCATTAAAAATCAGGAACATTTAAAGCAGCTAAAGAGTATCGTTAAAAAATCTGTTTTCCCAAATTTATACAAAATGCTACATTTAGCCCTTGCAGTTCCAACTAGTTCCGCATCTTGTGAAAGAACATTCTTAGTTATTCGTCGAAAAAACACCTACATAAGGTCAACTATATTACTAAATCGATTTTCCAAATTAGCAATCATAGCGATTGAAAGAAATTTGTCAAACATTCTAAACAAAGAAGACATTTTAAATAAATTTACCAATACTGAGCGGAGGCTTAAGCTGTAATAGTTATAACATTCCTTTAAGTTTTTAATTTTAAAAAAAATTTAACTTGTATCTGAAATAATACTTAATAAATATGTTAATATTTTAATGTTTACCTCAATATCACTTTTTTTATTATCTGTCTTATACATTATATATTAATAAAATAATATTATAATTTAATAATGAATATTACTCGAGGGACGAGTTTAGGGGTTGTAAAGGGCAGAGCTCCTCACATTTTTAACTTATTTTAAACATTTTAGGATTGAAGCCACCCCTAACTTCAGGATATAGTTACGCTTATGATTGGAACACGTTTTAAAATTTCAAATGTCTTCTAATCACCTATTATATATTCTTATGCATAAAGTTAGCACCATATAAGTATTATTTTTATGTTCCTAACGTTATTAAAAAAACTACGATATATATTTTTTTTTTTTTACCATACGTTTTGACATTTTCATTTCAGCAGTACAATTTACGGATTTTCGTCTTGTCGGATATGCAATAATTTTACCAAAACTTTAGAAGATATTGTACCAAATATTTAACTAAGGGCTCTGAAAACAAACGGAACGTGATCCTATTCCGGGAAAATCCCAAATCCCCTGGATCGACGGGAAACCAAGGGAACGAAACCGGACTGAGGAACGACGAGTCACCGATATGCAACGAAAGTTGCTGAAGTGCTCACAGATAATAACGCATCTTGCGAACCCAAAACTGTAAGACCATACTGCAAATCATTATACATAACTGTATATTATATGTCGCGCGGTCTGCAACTCAGGCCCTGTAGTCTTTACGTGCAGCTTAAGAACTACATATATTATTATTATCAACAAGTGATAACGTATATTATAACGAAAACCAGATCGTGGATATTGATATGATCCATTGTTAATAAATCAATAAATATTATTTGTTGTTTTATTTAAATCATTTCCCATTATCGCGATCTTTTAATGATGTTTATCTTTCTAATATACTATACTAAATCGTAGTTTGTAACCGTGTTTGGTCAACATTTTCAATCTTCGTTTCTTATTAAACATTTGTCTTTTTTCCTAATGAACGTTCCGGAAGTGAAATGTACATTGCTTTGCGGCGCTTCAGATTACTCTCAGTCGTTACTGTTTGAAGTAGGTGCTTATTACTTTTAATGTTGCGTTTGCATAAGTCCGTATTTGAAGTCTATGAAACTTTCACGAATACTATATTAATTAATACCTTTAAAATTTTTTTTAAACGTGTAGAGCGCAGTGTACTGGGCCGAAGTCGGGTATCGAGTAGTTTACCTTCAAATGTTTCAGATGAAATCCCTACCAATCCCTGTAGATGGCGCCAAACCACCTAGTGTGCATGCATTAAATCGTATTACATTTCTGTAATTCAACTAAACATTCATTGTTTCCTATTATTTCATGATTAATTGTGTTTGTTATATATATTTTTCACATTTAGAACGCTATCCCGGTGGCAAGATCTCGTTAAATACACTTGCTCAGTCCACGAAACCAGTCCAAATGTACCACGCGTAATTTTAGTTGCAGATTTGCATAACTACTATAATAATGAAGATAGAGATCAAAAGATAAGACTTGCACACATGTTATGTGCTTGTTTGTGTGACGCCATCTCATACTGCAGTCAAGTATATAAATCTACATCATATTTAACGGTATCGACAGAAGACTCTATGCTTGAAACACATAAATTATCTACAATGTATTTTCCATCGACCACGTGGATTAGTAGTTTTGACGATAACCAAGTTGTATTTTGTAAGAAACAAATATATTCATACCAACAGCGTACACAGAAAATAAAGTTTATAAAATTAAACAATAAACTAAGATGCAATTCTGTTGAAATATTATACATGTGAATACAAATAATATTTTATATCCATTAGTGTTTGTGTTTTTATATAAATTGATCATGATAATTTTAAAATGTTAAGTATTTGAATTTTCTTTTTTAGTTATAAATTATATTATATTAAAACTTTGACTGAACACTTCCATAACCTTTTATACTACTAATACATTCGTACTACATTAAAAATGCACAAGAAACCATTCAACATTTAAGTAACAATGAATAATTCAAACAACTACTTGTATAGTATTAAACATGAAACACGATTGAACACCATCAAAAATTTTATTTTGATAATAAAACCATAAAACAATTATAAAATATTAAAATTAATAATGAAACAAAATGTTAAAATATAATAATAAATTAATAATTATATTTAATTATTAGTATGTTGTCTTATAATTCATATATTATAAATGTTATAGTATGAAATGTATATATATAAACTAAAATTTGAAGATACTCATGATTGTCAAGTTAGTAACTGAAAATAGCTAAGTGTCCGCTTTTTTTGCGCAATAAACAATGCTATCATTTAAATTAATGTTACTTTTAAATTAAATTTGACTGATCCAATAGAAATCCAGTGTTATTAAATTAGTACAAGTTTTTATACTTTGTAAAGAGATTATATAGCACTCTCAATGTTGACTTCAAATCCAAATTCACAATATCTAGAAAATAAATACTATAATTAATAATTATACAATCTTTATCTTTGTATGGCCAAAAATAAATCATACTATTTATATAGGATTATATTCAATAAAATAAGAAACATATATTTAATATTCAAATTTAATTTGATAAATTCCAATATTTATTCAAAAATATTTTAGTTGTAAATAATAATTTACAGTAATTGTATAAATTGTAATATCATATTTATAAATATATTTAACTATCTATAGGTTATAAAATGTTACCTTCAGGTCTAGCTTTAGGTGCAGCGAGTCCAATTTCTTGCATTAAATCAAATGCTACATTGACATTATGAACTTTCTGTTCAAAATTTTGAGGTGACAAATTGAAAGAATACAATGGTACAAAAAATCCTTCAAGTAATCCCATAAGTAATGTCAAATAAACACCATCATGGAATTGTGTGTCTAAATCTTTTACTTCCATGTTAATCTTGTTTAAATGTTTGTTGACAAATGTAACCAAGGACTAAAAGAATAATCAATTAATAAGTTAAAAATAAAAAAAAATAAAATATTTTTTACCTTTTTAACCACTTCTAATTTATCAGGTGCATGATCAAATAAAGTATCAAAAGCATCTCGCTCACATCTCATACCAAGATCATCATATCTAGATGTAATTTCCTCAATAACAGTTCGATTCTTCAATACTCCATCTCGTTTCTATAAAAGTATTATTAATTAGAACTAGTAATTTGAGAAAAAAATGTAATCATAATAATAAAAATACCTGTACAATCACTACGTTGACAGTGACATTTTCAGGAAGTCGAATAGGTGCTCGAAAATGTCTTGCAAGTGATACCAACAAATGTAAAATAGCAACAAGGTTCTTAGAATGAACACTTTCAACACTCCATTTTTGTTGTGAAAGCCTATTGCCAGTTAATCCCAAAATCTAAATAAAAAAAATAGTAATTTTTTAAGTTATTTAATTCAAAATTCAAAAACTTAATTTTCAATAGATAATATCTATTTTATAAAAATTTAGAGTATATAAAATCAATAATGTATATGGCTATACATAAAATATTTTAAACAACATAATTTGAAACAATTTAATGGATAAAAATTGGAATAGTATTCACAAAAAATTATTAATCTACACCAGCGTTTCTTAAACTTTTTTATTCGTGGAAGCCTTTTTGATGTCCACATCTATCGTGGATGGAACCCCTATTTTTTTTTTAGCTTTTTTTCAAGGTTATTTGTCAATAAATTATAATCATATAATAATATTGTATTAAAGGTATTTAATTCAAAATATATATTAAAATTAAAAATTAAAATAATAATAATTGTATACATATATTATAATACTTTAATAATAATAACTTTAATTAGACTAAATATAAATTTAGACTATTCCATATGGCTTATACATTGTTATTTAATGTACAAAGATTTTTTCTCTATAATGCAAACAGTTTTCACTATTAATAATGTTTACTAATGTTTAAAAAATTACTTAAGCTTCGGGGAACCCCAGGGTTCCGCGGAACACAATTTAAGAAACGCTGATCTTCAAAATGTACATATAACCAAAACAATATAGTTTTAAGTTTCAATATCATATACATACATTATTTACGGATCCTAGTACTACATACAATTTTTGTTTTTGACCTTCTTCAGATTGAGTAACTTCTGGTACATCTAATTTTTCTCGAGTCAACTTTTCTAAATGTAATAAGACATATTGAATAGTTTAAACTAATTATATAAATATATTAAATAATCTCAATATATGAAATTAATAATACTCAAAAAACTTTGACATCATAGGTTCCATATTTAGTAATAGTATACCAATGTCACAAGATTATTTAAAAAAATGAATATAAAAATACTTTAAAATATTTATTCTATATAAATATGTTACATCATACATTTATTATTACTAATTTTATAAATTTTAATCAATTTATTGATAATTAAAAATAATAATGTTTAGAAGTTCAAATAGAAATGTTTAAAGTAATAACTGTATCAATTAATCATAATTTAAAACAAATAACATTTATGGTACAGTAAATTGATGAAAGAGTAATTATAAATATTTTTAAGTTTTATAGATATCATATGACAATTCTTAATATTTGAACTACTTTACTAAAAAAGAAAAGAAAACCTATTAATAAGTTAATGCAATTTTTTTTTGGAAATCTGGTATTCTTATTAGTTATTACAATACAAAATGCATAATATATATTCACTAGAAATTCAATAATCAAATCTTTTATTATTATTACAACATGACATTATTATGTTTCTAAACCAAAAAGAGTATTAAATATATTATCTAATTATAAACAATTAAAATAATAAATGTTGATTTATATTTTTTTTTTTAACTTAATTATTTATTTGAGAGGTTATGCAAATGAACGTTGAAGGAAAAAGAGGAAGATAAAGACCAAAAAAAAAAAAATGGTTGGATACAATTGAGAATGATATTAGGGCTGTTAATGTATGCGTAGGGGATGTATGAAATCAAGACAAATGGAGGTTTAGGTCAAAAGTGGCCAACCCCAAATAGTTAGGAGAATGGTGAAGAAGAATTGATAAGAAGTATTTGAGAAAAAAAAGTTCAATAAAATAAAATTTAATTTAAATCACAATCGTTAAATAATCAAAAATAATAATAAGATTGTAAACTGCTTGAATTTACTTTTTTAGATATTAAATACCTAGACATTAAGTTTTGCAGATGAACTTAACATTATAGGAGGCTCATTGGATGATACAGTGAGAGCTACTGAAGCATTGGAACACGCATCAAAACGAATAGGGCTACACATAAATGCAAACAAAACAAAATTAACAGAACTACTAAACATGGAAACATCGCTAGATGTATTGGAAACGCTATCATATAAAAATGTCAAACAGTTTCAGTATCTAGGTATACTATTTAATACAAAAAATGATTGGTTCCATGAGATCGGGACGAGAATAACAAAAGCAAAGAGAGCGCTTTTCGCTTTGTTAAAGTTTTTTAAGTCTAAATTATTTTCAAAATGAACAAAAATAAGACTTTATACATCAATCATAAGACAGATACTAACATATGGTTGTAAAGTATGGACTACTACAAGTATAACAGAATGACAATTAAAGACTTTTGAAAACAAAATATGGCAAGAGATAAGCAGTCTGGTAAGGGACATGAGGACAGGTCAGTGGCATAGGAAGTTCAACCAACTGAAGGAAGAAATAAAAATAGTATCAATTAATGGGTTTGTAAAGATTCAAAGGATACAGTTGCTAGAAAATGTCATGAGGCAGAATACTGATGCAGTAACCAAAATAGTACTGGACTGGAAACCAGAAGGGAAAAGACCACAGGGCCATCATTGGAAGAGATGGATGGATGTTGTAGAAAAGGATTTGGAGTGCAGGATTGGAGGGAAATTGTGCAGGATCGTGATTTGGTGATGACAGTGAAAACTCTTGGAGAGTTATGAAAGCCAGAAAAAAAAAAGAAGAAATTCCTAAACAAATAAATAAAAATAACTATATACCATATAACTTTTGTAATACTTGTCCATCATACAAATCTTGCTCTAGATTTTTAACAATAATCCGATGATCTGCCAAAACATCGTTTACCCAATCAATTAATATATTCATTAACTCTTGTAATTTAGGATCGGAATAAGACTTGGGTTCTACCATAGTACGTTCCTCGTTTTCCTCTAAAATATTGAAATATACAGATTAACAAACTAAATTTATTCCTTGATCTTGAGTAAATAAATAGTACATTTACCAAGGGTGTATTCTTCGGGAGGAACATCAGCCATAGCTGGATTGCCAGGTGAATCAATAGCATATTTGCCTTCTTCCTGAACCTCTTGCACTGAAAATATGCCATTTAAAATAAATAATTTATACAAAATAGAGAATAACTTAAGTAAATATTATTTTAATAATATCATAATGAATGATGACCATATAAGGTAATGTTGAAGTGCCTACCTTCCTTTATTCGTTTTTTGCGTCCAAGTGTTCCTATTTTATCCCAAAATGTGGTTTCGTCTTTACTATCATCCTTCCTAAATGAATTCTGTGGTTTGGGTGATTTCGATCTCGGGGTGGTCATTTTAATACGAACTATTATTTAGGTTGTTCTTGATTCAATTATTACTGTTGATGTTGATAGTAAATTTTGTTTTGAAAAATATATAATTGATAAGAACAGAGATATTAAAATGTAATTTGGGTCTATCTATTTGATTAGAGCACCACGTTATCATTTTTATGTTATCACTCTATGCCAATATAATAAAAAATCACAGATATGTAATAATATATATATTAGTTATTATTAGTTATTATATATATGTGTAAAAAATATAAGACGCCATACCAAAAGTGAAACGTGTACCACGACCGATAAAATGCGCTGATAAGTACTTTCACGCGGCGCATTACAACACGATCAGCACAACCAGTACGACGAATATCATTTAGGCCGGCCGTACGCCAAAAAAGCAAAACTGTGTTAGTCATTGTTAGGTGGAAATCGTATTTATAGTATCTAGTATCGTATTTAGTCACCAACATGTCTTCCGACGAAGAAAAAGTTATTATCCCTATTTTGTGATCTCTAATGTTAGATATCGAAAAGAGTGAAAAACAAAAAATAATGTGGGTTCATCCTTTAAATAAAAAACGTACAACAAATAATTTAATTTAATTTAATTATCTTTATAATTATAGATGGTTGATCTTTGTTGGACAAGTGTTATAAGTGTTTCCAGGTCTATACTTTCAGCGATCATAATAAAGTCTGTGTAGAAAAATTAAAAATAATATATATGTTTATTATTTGTTCATATATTATGTAGATATATAATATGTACACACATGATGAAGATTTATGCAATATGGGTACACAAAATGTATAATATATGAAAAAAAGTATAGTATTCGAACTTCTCAAAATAAATTTAATTTTAGTTTATTTTTATTTTTTATTTTCATGATGCTGGTACACAACATAACATTACAGTTTTATGCATAATTTTCAAAATATAAGTTAAATTGTTGAAAAGATAAACTATATTTAAAATTTTGTTTTTAAAATAACTTTTTTTTTTGTTTTTCACAAAACTAGTCAAAAGGAGACTAAAAATATTTGTTTAATTTGTTTTAAGTTGTTACCCAGTGTGCAAAAGACAGTGCATGAGACGTCATATGAATGTTTTATTGTATGATACGAGGTTAATATTTAAAGCCTAGTAACGTACAAGTGACTTTCCCTAGATCCTTTATGCCAAGTTATTTGACCTAAGCCATACGCTGTTACAAACGTAACTTGCTTTTGATATTAACAAATGCGATCTATGTTTAGTTTACCATGCGAAGTTAACATAGCAGTATTTCGTAACTCTTATTATACATCACAAAATTGTCTTCCATATTTAATGTTAAAAAATAACTTCCATTTAACTTTCCAAATTATGTTTTGCTTACCAATACTATTCAAAGTTATAATTATATAACTATAAGCTTCTTGGGAACTTCTAAGTCTAAACTTTAGAATTTGGTTATATTGTTAATAATGCTTTAATAGTTAAGAGTTGAAATTATAAATAGATACAAAAGGTTAAAATATTATGTGAGAAAAATAAACACATTCATTCAGATTATGCTGCCAACGAAAGTTTATTTATCTAGAGCATATACACAATACAAATATAAATATAATTAAAATGTACATAATTATAAATTATTTTATTTATATATACATAACAATTTCTAATAACAAAATTCATTATAAATAATTATTATTTAGGCATAATTCATAATAAGACGTACCTATATATTGTTTTTTTTTTTCATTTTATTATTTATTTTACTTTTTATACTCATTATTATGATTTAAAACTTATAATCATGTAATATTTTGATATTACATTTGAAACAAACTTAAATTTTAAAATAAATTATATATTTACATATAGACAAAAAATATATATGATTTTTTATAAGCTAAATAAATAATAGTTTGTTTTTATATAAAATAAAGTGATTATTTCTTACACAATAACTAAATTTACTAATGTGCGAGATATAAACCAATAAACACTTTAAATGTAATAAAACCTTATTTAAAATAATTAAAAATCAAATATAATTTTATTCATGTAGTGTTACAATGAATGCAATAAAGTAAACATTATAGCTTTATTATTGGATATAGAAACAAAAAAACATTTCAAACTAATTTCATCTAAAGGTATTAAATAATAAGATGATACTTTTGAAATATTTACATAAAAACATCCTACCTCAGTTGACTTTATAAGGGAATCAAACATTGCATAACATTCATGAAATTTGCTAACTTCCAACATTATATTAGAGTTGGGATATTTAATAATTTTTTTAACCTATTAAACAATTGTAAATTGTAAAAGTATGTACTAAAAAGTAATTTTAAAAGTATGCTGAATCCTTGCTTCTTGGGCGTCTGACTCTAAACAGATCGTCAAAACGAATAAACATTATTAACACGTAATGAAAATAAATCATACCGATACCAACTCGCCTGTGACTTAAATGCGACGTCTATGAAACTTTTTATAGTGTTGTACGTTCTAGATAAGATAAACCTATAATTTTTTTACACGAAGACACCATAGCAGCGCCACCAAAAGATATTAATAATTAAATTGAGGGTTTCACATTTGGTGGCACCACAAAGTTGGCCGCGCCGTTCTAATCTTTTCGAGCGACCAGACATGTTGAACGCGCGACTAAAATAGTCACGATATCATTCATATTATATGGTTTTTAATTTAAAAACGCGTATTCTATTAGTTTGATCAACTGCCAGTGGCACGTTTTTAAGTGGTTACTGACGTTTTCAAAAATGTCACAATTGATACCTACCTATAACTTTACATGAAAGTAAATTATTTATATACCATTAACATCTCAATTGTAATGTTAAATACAAATCATTAAACTCACAAGTAACATTTAAATGTAAATGAAGTTCCATGTCATGTCAACATTAAACATTGCATGCAAATTAACTTAGTAAGGTATCCACAGAATTAACTTTTAGATTGTTTTGCTATAATTTCACCAATACGTAATATATCCGTTACAATGAGAAGTTAAATGTTGAACTTAAAATCTACGTGACAGCGAAGTTAGTGTCACGCATTTGCACACTGGGTAATTAATGTATCTTATGTTTATGAATAAATTTAAAAAATTTAAAAAAGTTAAAATTAATTTTAGTAGTTTAAAAACCACCAAAATATATCGGGGTCTAATTAGACCCCATAATACCACATACGTATGAATAAAAAAGCAATATCAGTTAAGGGTTAATTGTAATTTTATTTAAAGGAAATATTTCGATCGTTTTTAGTTGTGTCGATTATTTATAAATTATAATGCATCCATATACTGTGTGTGTTGTATATTGAGTAAAACGAATAACTCGGGGCCCAGGCAGATGGCTGCCATGACCAGGCCAACACTGCTGGATGAGTTCTGAGTATATGACAATAATCTTATAAATGTATGTAAACAATTTTCAAAGGAATACTTCAAAAGAGCGAGGAAGTAATACAAATGGCTGCATCCGAATTGGGTCTCGAATTTAAAATTATTACACTAGTTGGTTCCCGAATTATTTTAAATACTACACTAGTTAGGTCCCGAAATATTTTAAGTACTACACTAGTTGGGTCCCGAATTTCTATAGATACTACACTAGTTGGGCCCCGGATTTCTATAGGTACTACACTGGTTGGGCCCCGGATTTTTATAAGTACTACACTAGCTTCTAAATACTTTTTGGTAAGTACTACATTATACTAACATTTTCCTTCCCATTTTAACAGACTTAGGGCTGTCTATGATCTAGTTACACCACAGGTATGGTTAAAATATTTTTTATAGTTTTTTTTTTGTTTTTTAGTTTCTTTTTTATTAATTTTTATTAATATTATATAATGATTTTAACATTTTTAATAATTTTAACAACACAATTCTAATAATATATATTTTAATGGAGAAGAAACTAAAAAAACAAAAAAAAAACTATAAAAAACATTTTTAACCATACCTGTGGTCTAAATAAATCATAGACAGTCTTAAGTCTGTTAAAATGGGAAGGAAAATGTTATTATAATGTAGTACTTACCAAAAAGTATTCAGGAACTAGTGTAATATCTAAAATAATTCAGGGCCCAACTAGTTTAGTACCTATATAAATCCGGGACCCAACTAGTGTAGTACCTATAAAAATCCGGAACCCAACTAGTACACTACCTGCTATTAACCCCTTGTACTCGGGACCCAACTCGGATACTCCAATACAAATAATACATTTTTACTGCCAGTAACTAAGTGTTATAACTTTATACTTTACTCAATAAGCAAAAATGTTAAAAGGTATTTTATAAAGTTAGGTATATATTTTAATTTCACTTTTCTGAACTCAAATATTAATTTCCAAATCGTTGGGTTCGACATACTCATCTGTGCCTGGATACTCCTGTGAGATGCTTCAATAATATTATTTGTTTTCTGTTTATACAGATAACCAAATCATAAAAAAAAATAATAATAATTTGTAAGTACTATTATAGATTCCGAGTGAAACAAAGAATATATTAATTTTGCCATGAAGTTTTTTTTTTTTTTTGTACAGGTATGTCAAATGTCCTAGTAAAAATCATCCTATTACATATTTTTTCTATCAACAATTTTAGGAGTGTTTTTCGATGGCAAATGTTTTCTAGATGGTTCATTAGAAACTAAATAGGTAATTTTTACAATTTCTCAACAGTTTTCCTAATAATTCCGTAAACACCCGATTTCATCAAAATATAATTTTTTAACGTTGCTCCTGTAAACTTTTTTGATTCACTGGAAAGAGCAACATCTCTAGTAGGTACATTACATTAAATTTTTAAGTCTTAAATATACATATTAAAATGTTTATACTTCCGTATACTCTGGACAAAGATCGTATTAAGGTGCATTTACATTGAAGTCCGAACGCGAACGAACGCTAGCGAACGCGAATTAATTTACATTGCTATGTTCGGGACTATTAGCGACCGTTCGGACTTGATCTATAGCATTCGCTTTGAATTTATTGATATAAAATATTCAATTATGGGCACACTATTTTCCATTGAACACATGTATTTTTTGTTTAAATTTGTTGTTTTTTAAGTATTTAGTCAATATTTATTATAAAAATGTCATCAAGTAAAGATACGATG